TTTAGATTAGGTTAATTTTGTAGGTTGTTGTTTGCTTATTGGTGATTTGGTATTTGGTAAATGCTTTAGATTAGGTTAATTTTGTCAACCACGAGGTTATGCATTTCCAAAAAAATTTGTCGGGAGTAAAGGAAGACGCTTTTGTCCGACTTGGTTTAATCAATATGCTAATTGGTTGGAGTATAGTGCCCCCTACAATATATTTTTCTGTGTCCGCCACTGCGTCTTGGTACCCACATCCACACTACAAATTATCTCCATGCATTAAATAACTTTCATATCATATAAAATACATTTAGCAGACACTTCACCTTTCAAGTACTGAAACATGTACCTCATTTTAGTAAATCGTATGAAAGTCATAATACCTTGCAGGGTGGACCACTTTGCTAAAAGTAACAGATACACACGTTAAAAACATATACACTAAGCGTCAAAACATACTATTGAACATAAAAACAACATATTTTGCATCAATGTCTTACCTAATAGAAGGTCAAAATAACCCGACACACGACTTGAAGCTCACTATCATTGAAGGAGACTTTAGGCAATCGACTTAACCCAACTTGCCCTACATCCACCTCATGTCAATTCCCTCTAACATCTTGCTTCCGATCTCGTGTTCATACCTAACTTCCAAGGACTACCAACTCGCCTACATCATCATATTTGCGAACTTAGATGGATACTTGCTAACCAGCCCAACTCACATTTGGAGTAGCTTATAATGGTATAATACGCGAAGAGTCAACTGCAATCTTATAAGAATTTTGTTATCATCATTTTCGTACATCACATTATATATATTTATATTACAAACGACGAGAGAGGTTCAAATGAGAACATTAACCAAATATTAAATACGAAAAACGACTAAATCATGTACAAAATCATATGTGACTTTATGCTAAAGTCAACACAAGGATGTGAAGACGACGTGACCACCAACATAGGTCGCATGAATTACATTTGATTTTACACTAATTTAATTTTATACATAATTTTTATATAAAATCACATATGATTCAACAATTTTATTACTCTTTGTTTGGTTACTTTTATCTTAAAAACCTCAATTTACAAACCATTATCTAATTTTAATTATTTATAACTATTTTAATGAATTTTGAAACTCTTGCTAAAAATATTTACACTTGATCATAAGAGTGGTGTCTGATTGGTTCGAGCTTGGCTACAAAGGTCAAAAGTATCAGGATGTCTCATGTTCAAATCCAATGATGAATAAAAATCCCCTTGTGGCTACGGAGGTTCAAATATGGTGACTTCAGGCTATCTGTAAAGCATGTGGTTGTCCTAAGATTAGTCGGCTCGCAATTGGGTTGGATATTCAGCTTAATAAAATATATATATTTACACTTTGCACCCTTTTACTTTGACTGTATCTTCGTTGAGAAACATAAAATAAAAATAAAATCACATTCAACGGCCGACCGCTGCTGACGTATCAGAGACACTTCCTCCATCTTTCTCTTCCCCCTTCTCTCTCATGTGTTCAGATCTCTTTCTCTGTTCTTTGTGATCTGGTAAATCTTTACATACGAATCTCTGTGTCTAACTCTCTATGCACGCCTATACGGATATATGGTCGACTATAATAGTTTTCCCTTTTGTTTTTGATTTTTTCCCCAATTTTTTGTGTACTCAGAGGAAGAAGATTAGAAGTTATCAGTTCTCCTAGGGTTTGCTTTTCTCTGCTCAATTTGATAATTTAAATCAATCGATATGGCTGCTCCACCAACTAGAGCTCGAGCGGATTACGATTACCTCATTAAGCTTCTATTAATTGGCGACAGTGGTATGTATCTTGTATCATGTGAATCTCGATTTACGAATAACTCCATGTGTGTATGATTACCTGGTAATGTTTGGAGAACGTGTTGTTTCCATCGATGAGATCTCTTTCTTTTGCCTACGATTCCTTTTTGTGATGGGATGAGAAAAGAGGGGCAATGCTCATTTTGGTAGTGATTTTGTAGTTTTGTGCCTGTATATTGTGATTAGAGTGGATTAACGGAATAAATATTGTAGAAATTGTGCATATGAGGATCGTCATTCTGCATTAAATTGTTTCACAGGGGTGCAAAGGCGATGGTTGTCTCATTTGCCATCCATATTGCAGACATAGAAAAGGGGGGGGAGGGGGATAAATAGTAAATAAAGAAGTAGTGTATTCATTCTATGCATGCAACCCATATTTCATATCTTTTGGTTGTCCTGGAAGAAACAGAAGTAATGGTTGCGGTTAGAACATGGAAAGACATGAGGCCAGCCTAGTAATTTATCGACTAAAACTTTGTCCTAGCCCAGGAATTTGGTTTCAATCCCCAACAGAAAGATTAGACTTGTGTGCAAATGCTTGTGACATGCTATACTTGGATTGCAAAGAGGGTAGAACTACTTCATTTGAGCAGCCATGATCAGGCGTTTTCTTTTTCCCATGGGAGGTATTCATCTTGACTGCTATAGTATGCATTACAGACTACAGTAACTGATTTTGCACCCCTTTTCTTCATTGGTTATGTGTCTGCAACACATTGGAAGAGTCAAGTACTGACTGCAAAGTTCATCTTCCTTTTGTTATTATCTTGGATGAACTCATCCCTCCACTGTCCACTTCTGTTAAGAAGGCTTTTGATTATCATGTGTCATGGTTGCATTATCTGAAGCAAAGGTGGGTTATGAATTTGGGTGGTGCTCAAGGAATTTGATTTCCAATGTGTCAAAATGAGCAGTTTAAAGTAGTATTGGTCAGAGTTGAATTATTGGGAATGGAACATCTTCCAAATGTCAGCTTACTGTTGAAGAAGATCAATTTCGCGGAGAATCAATTATGATTGGGCTTGTATTTCATGACACCTCAGCTGCTGAGGTTTGTTTTCCGTCAGCTGTGATAGCATGCCTTCAAACTTGAACTGGATCATCCTTCAAACAGTATGTCATGGCTGAGTTAGATATCTGGGGTTTGCTGCACACCTGCTAAACAGCCTTTTTGCAAAACGGGTTATAAAATGTTGGGATGGGCATGTAATGTTTTTAATTGAAGGACTCTAGGGCAACATTTAGTATGCATGGTGATACCAACACTTGGACAAATTTAACAATGTGTATGAACAATTTTCAAGATGCTACTTGCAAACTCATCTAACAGTAAAAGTTATTCACAGTTTATTTAAACTGGAATTTCTTGAACATAGTTAACACTCTCAGCTAAGAATATATAAAAAATGGAAGTGTATGCTTTCTCTTAATGGAAGGAACCGACTCTTCTTCTATAGTGTGGGTAAGATAGGATCAGATCACACATTCTTCTGTGTACCATTTAGGTTGCATTCTTCTGCTACAGAATCACAGTTTTTCTGACACCTTTTCCTGGCATCTTCTTACAAATTCAAGACCAAGGTCCAACCATTACCTGTCTTTCGTATCTGAAGTCATTATATATCAAACTTAAATGTATTATTTAATCACTCAAAATAGTTATGACTAATTTTAATCACTACTGCAGGTGTTGGTAAGAGTTGTCTCCTTTTACGTTTCTCGGATGGCTCCTTCACCACTAGTTTCATTACAACCATAGGGTTCGTATGTTTACTTCCTCAACTGTCTTGCTACTTGCAAGGAATATAGACTATAAGTTCTATCAGAGCTTATTGATAACTGACAGTTTGGTCCTTCTCTTATTTAGTATTGATTTTAAGATAAGGACCATTGAACTTGATGGAAAACGGATCAAACTGCAAATATGGGACACTGCTGGGCAGGAGCGATTCAGGACAATCACAACTGGTAAGTATTCTAGAAGGATGCTTCCACTTTGTATTTTTATTGACGTTCTAATGTAATTAGAGTTTTCAGACCTGTAGCAAATAAGCCCAGCTACAAGAAAATTTTAATGGTTGATAGGCATACTGTTTTTCACAATTACGTAGGTTGAACATCATAGAACATCTTCAGCACATGTTTAAGCATGTGTAATCCCAGGCATTGACATACAGAACCAGGTTGATCGATAAAAAGTTGCTACTACACTTGTGATGAATCATTAAACTGATGATTTGTTTGTGCCAATTCCAGCTAGAACAGTAGTACCTAAATATTTTTGGGATTGTTATGCTAGGTAAAGAACCAGTCACAGGAAGTAAATTGAAGGGAATATTATCCCTTCAGCAAGTTATTTATGAACTTAGTAGATGGATTGGTATTATCTATGTCAAAAAAAAAAAAAGATTCTTGTCCATATAAAGTAGGTCAACGTAAGTCGAAGACAACCATTTCTTGCACCTTTTTTAAGAACCATATCCATGAGATGCAGAAGAAAGTATTTGAATTTGTGAGGAGTTTATTTTCTTATGATTTTGTCAATGTTCAGCATGATACTTTTAAGTAACAAACACCTAAAAGCTCTATATGAAATATTGAAATTCTTGATGGAGGGTCCCAAAAGTTTTAATTGTAAAAAATATTTCCAAAGCCTCTAATTTGCAATTACTTGCATATGATTGTTAAGTTACTATATTTAGGGAACTAGCATAAAGCTTTCTGCACCTCACTCTTGCAATTGTTCTTGTTTTGGAACTTAAAACTTCTCTTTATCGCCTTCACCCAAATGATATTTAACGGTTGTTGCCAATTAATATTGCGCGCCCTAAATCCCCCAAATTATGGCTGTATAGTTAATTCTATAATATTTTCACAATGAAGCTGTGTAAATTAACACCATAAGTTTGTGGGGTTCCTATGATAATATGAACTCTTAAGCGGAAATCTTAGCACATCTAGTTTCTTATATTTGCTCAATGAGTTTTACACCTCAAATAAAAATGTGTGACATCAAATTGATCTCTTGATTCCCTTGCACGAGGTAGAGAAAAGTGTATATGTGTGTGTGTATAGGGTTAGGTTCCGGTGAGAATGGAAGTTATGGTGAGAAGGGTAAAAAGGGATCTCCACCCTTGGATCAATCCTAATTGAAGATCAACCTTAATGAGATGCATTAGATCAATTCCCTTGAGAAGCGTAATTCATGGGCTGGGGTGAGATTAAAAGTGATCAAGGATCCAGATCCCTTCTTACGCTTCTTACCTTAACTCCTATTCTCACACGATCCTTCGTCTATATATATATATATATATATATACATATATGGGTCAAGTTCAGAGGAAGACCACAAAAAAATGAAAAACAGAGGAACACCCTGGTGACCATTCGTCTAAACAATATGCACATGAGCATAGAAGTAATTTGTAAGGAATGTCCTGTATGCACATGTGTATAGAAAGTTAAAAACTAAGAAACAACTTCAATTACTTGTATGCATATGTGCATACCATACAGATGAATGATAACCAGAGTGTTCCTTAGTTTTTCAATTTTTGGGGGTTTCCTTTGAACCTCCCTCATATATATATGTATATATATGTATGTATGTATGCATGTGTATATATAGTCTGAAGTTTATATTGCTTCCTTGGATATTTGTTTAGACCATTACACAAAAAGATGGGGAATGAACAAAACGCTGACTGTTTATAAAGTATCTATGATGATGGTAGGTGGTGGCATTAACAGGATAATAGGATCAAAATCTTTCAGTTTTTGTTTTCTCACTTCAACTCCTGTTTCCTATGGAACTGCCCTTGTTTTTCTATTTGATCTTCATGGATTAACCGCCACTTCTGTAAATTGTGTATTTCTTGACTAATCTTGGTGATCTGCAGCATATTACCGTGGAGCAATGGGTATTCTGCTGGTGTATGATGTTACTGATGAATCATCCTTCAACAGTAATTGCTTATACCTTTCATCTTAACTAAGTTGCTTTCCGTAATCTTTTCTCTGCTACTGACCGATATAAAATATTACCTCTTTGTGTTGATTTATCATCCCCAAAGCAGGGTTTTGGTACTGTACTTTCCTTTTGGGTCATTCACTGATGTCTCGACCATTCCTCCACCACAACTGATCTTAATACTATGATTTATATATTAGACATCAGGAATTGGATCCGTAACATTGAACAACATGCATCTGATAATGTAAACAAGATACTCGTGGGGAACAAGGCTGACATGGACGAAAGCAAAAGGGTATGCTTTATATATATATATATATATATATATATATAGTTTCAAATTATGCATATATACTCATTCCCATCATCTTTCACGCTGACTTAGCAAAATCTTACTGTTAGGCGGTTCCTACCTCAAAGGGTCAGGCACTTGCCGATGAGTATGGGATCAAATTCTTCGAGACTGTAAGTAAGACTTGTATCACTATTTGGACTTTGTGATTACATGCTCTAATTGCTACCTGCATAAACATTCAAACAGAGTGCAAAAACAAATATGAATGTGGAGGAGGTCTTCTTCTCGATAGGTAGGGATATAAAACAAAGACTGGCTGAAAGTGACTCAAAAGCCGAGGTACGTTCATATATATATGTATATTTCTTACTTCTATCAATCACTCAAAAATGTGACCCATATGCAGAGGCGGATCCAGAAAAATTTCCAAGCTGGGGCGGAAGATAATTAGCATAATATGAAAACAAAAAGCAACCATAAAAAGTACGGTTTCATTAAAAATGACATACAAATGGTTTTTTGCAACACCCAAATGGGTGTTTTCCTTTCTTTTCTGCTGCTGTTATCAATAACTTCAAAAAGAGACAGAGATTCAAACTTGCAACCTGTAACACCACATGCGATGCAACCACTTTTTGTTAATTTAGCGAAGCACATATCAAATTAAAATGGATGATCCTTTAAGACTTGTAAAAAAATTCCAATATGTCGACAAGGTAGCACGTGCACCCCGTGTCTCAAATCCGCCCCAGCCCGTATGTAAACTTGAAATGCATCTAGATATTCTGGTTCTCTTTGTACAAAGGTTAATTTTTTTTGCCCTAATCCCAAGTTGTTTTCGGTCGATTCTTGTTCATTCTAAAGCCTTGTTTTATTTTACCATTCTCAATTGCAGCCTCAGACAATTAAGATTAACCAACCAGACCAGGCAGCAGGGGGTTCACAAGCCTCTCAGAAATCATCATGCTGTGGCTCTTAATAAACAACACGAGTTGCAGCGAAAAAGAGAGGTCAGGGTTTACGACATCCACAGGGTAGTTATGACGTCATTAAGGTTTGGTTGTATTTTTTCTCAGTATTCTGAATTTCATTTACGGATTTGTGTTTCTAAAGTTGTTCGAGAAATATCAATTTATACATCGTTGTCATTTTGTCGTGTTTCTAATCGCCTTAATAGACTTTTAAATGAATGGAACTTTGAGGAGTTGGAAAGCAAGGAAACAAACAGAAATTGGACTAAAAGATGGTCAAAGTAAATATCAATAATCGTGGGATGAGAAGATATAAAGTCTTATCAATAGTTCTGAAATAATGTATAAAGCTTTCTGCTTGATGCTCAGTTTGTGTTTGTTTTGTGGGTAAGGGGTTGGCTAAATGAACACTTATTTCCTGCTAAATACACATCTGCATCATTTGATTTGATTTTTATATAATAGGTGTGTATATAGGGGAATTATATATATATATATATATATATATATATATATATATATATATATATATATATATATAAGTTGAATCGTACATTGGACATATAAAAGAGTACTTTTGATGTTGACATGCCTTTTTTCACGAAAAAAATTCACCTTTTAACCAAAAATCACTACCTTTGCATAGGGGTGCTTATGGGTTGGATTGATCAGATTGAAGACATTTGAACAATCCAATCCAATGCTTACGGTTTGAAGAATTTTAATCCAACCCAACTCAAACCAAAGTGCAACCCAACCCAACCCGTACGGGTTGGTCGTGTTGATACTTTGGTATAAAATATTCTTTTAATCTTGAATATATTATTTCTTTGCTCATAATTTTTTTTTCATCATTAACAATTTGATACAACTTATCCATACTTCTTACGTATATCACATTCAGTTAATTTTCTTAATTTACATATATATGTTCACAGTTACTGAACATATATACGAATGAGTTATATAGAGAAGTGAATAGATTGAAAATATGTGTATATGAAGAGCGTACGTGATAATGTAATTGTCTAATGTATATATTAATATAAATTCAACAGTCATATTAAATCCAAGAAATAAAAGGATATCGAGTTCATCGTGTTGAGTTAAGTTTAAATAATAGTAACTCAATACCCTACGGTTTAAAAATTTTACAACTCGATTAGACATCTTGTTGCTTCGGGTTGAGTTATTTCGTGTTGAGTTGCGTTTAGCTGATCGGGTTTTTGAGCACTCCTACCTCTGCAAGTGCCTGGGCCGCAACTTGCACCGTGTTGAGACCTCCGCAAGTTTTGTGCCCTCCTCAAGTTTGGAACTCTAGTGGCACTTGAGTTGAGTGTTTTTTTAGAAAAATGCCCCTTCTGCAAGTTGCGGCAAGGGCACTTGCAGAAGTATTGATTTTTTGATTAGTGTGGGAGAGAGTTGGTTAGGAGGTGAATTGAGTTGGGTAAAACGGCTATTTACATCAAGAAATTTAAGGGTTTAAAAGCTTCTGATTATTTCTCAATGTGTCGTGTATGATTTATTGGGTAATTCACAAAATAAAATTCGAACCCTTTACATTTACATATGAATACTTATGTTACAACACCTTATGCACCAAAATTAATTGTTGAACTAATAGACCATTTATCATATTATCAAATGCTTATTGGATAAGTGCTTACAAGGTTCAGATGTCACTTACCTACCGAGTAAGCATTGCAAGATCGGTAATCTTACCCCAGTAAAAGGCATAACAAAGACCGAGAATTCTACTCAACAAGGCAAAAGACTCTTACTTGATAAGTGAAATTTACCAACAATCCATTTGATGGTTGAGAATGCTATACAATAAGATAAATAAGGGAGGTAACTATCGTCAGTAAATGCTTATCTACTCAGCGATTGGTAAATAAAGGAGGTAACTGTTGTAGGTAAAATGCTTATCTGATCAGCGATTGGTAAATCGCCCGTAAGTAACAAATTTGTATTGTGTAGTTGAGTATTATGAGTGGTTGTAATTTTGTCACAATAAATTAAATGTAATAAGTTTCAATTTCATTTTGGAACACATCCAATAAAGTAACAAGAATTTAACAACTTATGGACCAGAAACTCTTCACAAATTAGAATTTGTAGCCAAAATGAACAAAAAGACATCAAAAGTGATCCTACTTTTGAAGGGATTCTGAATGCATAAATAAACCCTCCTTCCTTTGATACGTCGTTTTTCTTCTCTTTTTCAAAAGAAACTAATAGTTTTTAACGTCAACCGTATAGAAAACGTATTTTATTTTGATTCATATTTAAAAAAAGATTCAAAAAACATAGCCCAAGTTTGGAAATGAAAAAAAAGATTAGGACCCAGCCATGTACAACTCTGACTAAAACCATACTAAACACGTTTAAATTAAAACAGTATAATATTTTATTGAGTAAACTACAAATTTGGTTCCGGTAGTTTGTATGAAGTACAGTTTTCGAGCCGGTAGTTTCAAAATTACAAGATAACCATCGTGGTTTGTATAAGCATTTACATTTGTTCCCTTTCTCTAATGGTTGTAACAGGATTTCGTTAAATGAAGGGCAATTTTGTCATTTTTTCGATTTCTTTTTGTCTTTTAGCCAATCAAAAACTACAAGACAAAAATCATAAAGTCAAATATGATTAGATAAAAGACAAAAATTCGATAAAATGACGAAAATGCTTCTCATTTAAATGAAAATTTTAATGGTCGTTAGAAGGAGAGACCAAATCCGGACGTTTTTATAAATCACAATGATCATCTTGTAATTTCAAAACCACAAGGACTAAAATTGTTATTTTTGATAAATTAAATGGAGCAAACTTGTAGTTTACTCTATTTTATTTTCTCATGTACATTTATATCCTCTCTTCGTCTCAAATTAAACGTACATAATAACATACACATAGTTGTAAGAATATATAATTATTACACTTTTCAATTAACAAAAAGACAATTTTACCCTTAATTATAGATAAAAAATTTATTCTCCATCTTATAGTTATGGATAAAACAGGAAAACATTTATTTACTCGGAAAGATTTTAGTCCACCAAAACGACATCGTATGCAACAATTTACCCAGTAARCGCTTACCATGGTAAGAGTCATCGTCCTCACTTACCGGGTAAGACTCTTGATCCTCGTCTCGCTCTTACCGGGTAAGGTTCTTGGTCCTTACCATATTTATCCGGTGAAGTAATGTTACTTGACAAACGCTTACCCGAATAAGTGATTAGTAAACGGCCCCTAATATAATAACGTAGACACTCCTTTTCAATCTAATAATGTCATCATCCAACGAGTTGTAGCTTATTCGGAATTCAGATATATAAATGGCAAAAAAAGGTGTATTACCATATTAGCTTTATAGGAATATATATGCTTTTGACTAAAAATAGTTTTGGTGCTTTTCCACGCAGCTGACCACTCTTTACATCATCAATAAGCCAAATCAAATGAACCCTGTATCATGGGCTTCATATATGATGTATCTGCTGTTTTAAAAAGTAGAACAATTATTTCCATAATATATCTGATTTATTAATCTACATGTTATACTAAAGATAATATCTGTATCATGTTGTTTATAACGTAATATACGTGACTCTGTTACTCAACAAGTATCTGAGACTGAGAGATTGACTCGGAAATACCAACGTATGAATTATATGTTTTGTTTTTCGGATAAGAAGAATGCTATAAAACATGGACGAATAGAAAAAGTGTGTTGGATAATAAAGTGGAAACACTAGTTGATGTGAATTGAAAGGTTATTTTTACTACTAAATGTTGTATATAAACCGAAAGAGGCACACGATTTCTACACAATCGATACGAATCTTGTTCGATTGATCGCATAGCGAGATGAGTAAAGATGTGGGTATGAGCGGATTCTTTAACCGTGGGAAGCCATTTTTCGGTGTTATTTTCTTGCAGTTTGGGTTCGCGGGAATGGACATCCTCTCAAAAGCCGCGTTGAATGAAGGGATGAGCAATTACGTATTTGTTGTTTATCGCCATGCTGTTGCCACCGTCGTCATGACCCCTTTCGCCATTGTTTTCGACAAGTCTCTACTTATCTCCATTCATATAACTGGGAGAAAGTTTCATTTAGGAACTGTAAATATTTTGAGAAACCAATTATTCATTATTGAATAATAATGAATATATATCACAATATTCATAATGGTTCTCAAAATATTTATCTTCTCTCCATATATCTATACGCATTCGTGATTAAAACTGATTTACTTCATTTAAACCAGGAAAACGAGGCCAAAGATGACACGCTCGATCTTCATTAAGCTTATGATTCTTGCGTTACTCGAGTAAGTTTTCAATAGTTAACGAAAACCGTGTGTTAGATGTTTGATTCAATGATCAAATAACGAGCTTTCACGGCTCTTAATTTGCAGGCCGGTTATCGATCAGAACCTTTATTTCATGGGACTGAAAGCGACAACAGCGACATTTGCAGCCGCGATGTGCAATATTCTTCCTGCAATAACTTTTGTGATGGCCTGTGTTCTAAGGTGAAATCCCTTAACATGCACAAGCCTCCATGCATCACTACAACAAAATCGGTTTTCTAATTGTCTTAATAAGCTGCTTAATATGACTTAAGTTTACAGGACATAAAAAACCGTTTAGCATGTCCAAATACGTCATACAACCCTATTGTCACACCTTTATAAATATTGAATACACAATTATTTGGTCTTATAAACTCAAGTTCTATAAAGCAGCACCATATCTGTACATAAGTTGATAAACAGGTTCGGAATTCCGCTTCTTTCAGGCTCGAGAAGCTAAACCTGAAAAACATTCGAAGCCAAGCGAAGGTAATCGGGACCGTAACAACTCTAGCAGGAGCCATGATGATGACCCTTATGAAAGGCCCAGTTTTAGAGCTATTTTGGACAAAAGGAAGAACAGACCATCAATCTCATGTAAACAGTACTGGGGTAGATGTAGATCTCCATAATTCTCTTATGGGTGCTTTTATGATCACAGTTGGATGCTTCAGCTGGTCTGCTTTTATGGTTCTGCAAGTGAGATTTTTAATCCCAACTAACTAATAGTAAATGTCATGAGAATATACATTTGGACCATTTCGGGGTCCCGGGAAAACCTCAAAAAATGAAAAACTGAGAAATACCCTAATAATTGTTCATCTGTTTCTTATGCACATGTGAATACAAGTAATTGAAGATGTTTTGCTGATTTCTATGCACGTGTGCATGTTATCGGAAAAATTACTTGTATCTCATGTGCATACCTTAGAGATCAATAGTTAACTAGGTTTTTCACTTTTTACGGTTTTCCCCTGAACCTGACCCTATAGATATGTGTGCGCGTGTGTTGGAACACCATTAAATTGCTCTTCAAAATAGCCATTTAGTAGAAAGGTGAGGTTCCTAACATATATTGTGGATAAATAGTTCAAATCTAGCTGATTTGTGTGACTTTGATGGTAATAATAGCTAGATCGTAGATGTTTCTTGGGCTTTCTAATCTCCAACTCGTTCGGGTTTACCTACAGGCAATTACGCTACAGTCTTATCCTGTCGAGCTTTCTCTAACCGCTTGGATATGCTTGTTGGGAACAGCTGAGGGAGCGATAGTGGCGTTAATTATGGAGAGGGGAAACCCCGCAGCCTGGGCTATAAGCTGGGATTTGTCACTAGTAACAATTCTCTACAGTGTAAGGTCATGTTTGACGACCATAAGCTAACTTATTTTTTGAGCTTATTGAAAAAGCCATGTTTGATTAGTCATAACCTAGCTTTTTGAAAAACTACTTCAAGTAACGTTTCGATAAAATCAAAGGGCTTTTTTCCAACCTTTTTCCAATTAATTTTCATCATGTCTTTTTTGAAGTTATTTTACATTGTCATCTGACGTATCAACTAGTTTATAAGCTAACAACTAGCTTATCTGCAGGGCATAATATGTTCTGGTCTAACATATTACATCCAAGGATTAATAATGAAAGTTAGAGGTCCTGTTTTTGTGACTGCTTTTAGTCCAATGTGCATGATCATTGTAGCTGTGCTGGGCTCCATTATTCTAGCTGAGCAAATGTACCTTGCAAGGTATTTCTCAGATCACTTGGTTGGTACAATTAATATCGTTAAAGAGTATCATATCAGCTAAATTTGGATCATTTTTTATGGTGGAACCTTCATTCTCTCTGCTTAAGGACTCTTTTGGAGGGTAATCTAATGGGCTCCACATACTTTAAACATGGTATCAGAGCTCCAATATCTAGCACCACCTAGGGACTCAACGCACCCTTGTTTGAGGGGGCGTGAGTCCCACATTGGCTAGACACAGACCATAAAACCTGTATACATGTTGGGGATATTCCTACAAGGCTCTTTTAGAGAGTAATTTGATGGGGCTGGTTAATGTTTCACAGGGTTATCGGAGCGATTGTGATAGTTACAGGGCTTTATCTTGTTGTGTGGGGTAAAAACAAGGATGATAAGATTCCATCAGAGCAAATGGTAGCAGAAAAACAAATAATGGAGAAAGAACTTGAAGAAAATTGTTATGATAAGGTCATCACCATCCAAGCATCAGATGGAGTTGCTCCTGTAATCAATGGAGTTCCTCGTGATCGCAATCAGAGCTAAAGATGCATCTCGTGCTCCGATCGCTCGTGTATGTCTGATTAAGTGTATGTAAACTCAAATATGATTCGGAGTATGTCGTATGATGATGCATGAAATAAAATGTCATACGTAGACGAAATGAGCTTTCAGTGACACAATTCTTTCTACAACCCAGCGATATGAAGGTTGGAGGTTCGAGTCTTGCACGAGACTAGTCACGCACTTGATGCAGGATTAGAAACCACTCGATTTGACATTTGGCTGACTGAGGTCTAGTTTTTAACCCGCACGACATCAAGTCAGTAAAAACGTCCAAAAACATGGTTCGAATGAAAAATAATGCTATAAACATCGACAACTAGAAAACGGTGTTGTTGGTGCAAGTGTATCACGTCTCTAAATATTTATTACGTATATTTTGTTTTGATAATTACAATGTATTAATATTCTACTTAAAAGTGTATAAGTTATGGAAACTCAAAGTCACGCGTTAAAAAGATTTGGTATTTTTTTTAAAATCTATTAAATAAAATGTTGAAAAAAATTAAAAATAAGTAAATTGTTTTATTCTAGAAAACGATTTAGGGGGCCGTTTACCAAACGTTTAACTGGGTAAACGCTTACCAAATCACATTACTTTACTGGATGAATATGATAAGAACCAATAATCTTACCCGGTAAGAGCGAGACAAGGACCAAGAGTCTTACCCGGTAAGCGAGGGCGACGGCTCTTATGACGGTAAGCGCTTACCGGGTAAATTGTTGCATATGATATCGTTTTGTTAGACTAAAATCTTACTCGTTAAGTAAATGATAGTGTTAAAAATTTTACTGGTAAACGCTTACCGAATAAGTGTTTGGTAAATGACACCTTACTTTTTTATAATATACTAGAAGAGTACTCGCACAATGCAGCGAGATACGTCTTCATTTTAATGTTTTGTTTTTTTTTGTTGTTGATATAATACGGTTTATGTGGTTTTGAGAAAAATAATATTTTTACTTTTAAATAAAAATAAATTTGAATATATCATAAAAATTTGAAAAAATATATCGATATTAATATCAAATTAAATATTTAAAAGTTTTTATTTTTTTGTACAATTTCTTTAATTGATTTTTTTTATTATAATTCAATTTAAGTCAAATAATGAAGTAATTTATTTTTGACTTAATTCTTTTATAAAAATAATGATTATGTTAAAACTCAATAATTATTCTAATTATATTTGGATTTTTTATATTTAAAATGAAATGTTTATCCTATATTTGATTAGGTTTATCTGCAGTTAGTTATACGAATTTAAAAATGGAACTTTAATAAGTTGTACTTACGTAAAATCATTTGTAATATTAAATTTTAAATAATATGCATCAATAAACAGTACTTCATACATAAAAAATGATTTTTAAGAATTTTTGTCAAATGTTTTATAATATAGTATATATATATATATATATATATATATTTGGGATCATGTGAGACTAAGGGTTTTTCGTGAGACCCGTAAGATGTGAGACTAAGGGTGCGTTTGGTTTGCAGGAATGTTTTTGAGGGATTTGGATTCCCAGGAGGGATTTGGATTCCATGGGATTTGGATTGGATTGGATTTAAAATCCATCATCTGTTTGGTTTGTAGGATTTGTAGTATTGGGTCTCCTTACTCAATTGATAATTATCGAGAACTACAGCAAAATTATCGAGAACTACAGCAAAATTATCGAGAACTACAGCAAAATTATCCAGAATTACAGCAAAATTATCGAGAACTACAGCAAAATTATCAAGAACTACAGCAAAATTATCGAGAACTACAGCAAAATTATCAAGAACTACAGCAAAATTATCGAGAACTACAGCAAAATTGAACCTAATCTGTATATTTAACCTAATATGTGTTCATAGTTTAGGGGAAAAGGGATTTACCTGTTGAGTGATGGGAGAAGGCAATGGGCGACGGTAAGGGCGACGGTGAGCGACGACCACCGACGGAGGCGGCGATGGAGACGAAGGGCGACGGCGACGGAGACGAAGGGCGACGGCGACGATGGGCGACGATGACGAAGGGCGACGGAGACGAAGGCCGACAGAGATGAAGGGCGACGGCGACGAAGGGAGAGGGCGACGGAGACGAAGGGCGACTGCGACGGCGACGAAGGGCGACGGCAACGACGGGAGAGGGCGACGGAGACGAAGGGCGACGGCGACGAAGGGCCGACGGCGACGACGACGGGAGAGGGCGAGGGATGTAAGCTGTGGGAGAAGATGGAGCGATGTTTAACTCTGGATATGGAGATGGAGATTGAGACGATGTAAGCTGTGTAATATGGAATGGATTTTAAAATCCCGTGTATTTTCAAAGGATTTCCAAATCCATCGTTCATGGGATTTCAAAGGAATCCTTGGATTTCAATTTCTCACAATCCAGCAAACCAAACACTGGATTGGAATGGATTTCAAATCCAAATCCCCCCAATTCCATTCCAATCCCGCAAACCAAACGCACCCTAAGGGTTTTTCGTGAGATCGTAAGACCAAATTCTCAACCCTTGGATTAGATCTACAATCTGAACATTCATAAACGCCACGAGACTTCTCAATAATCACAAAATTGTCATCATGCAATTATAGACCATTAGATCATTAACTTATAAAGTTGATCAATGAACATAAATTGGTCTTACGGGTCTCACGAAAAACCATTAGTCTCACGTGAACCCAACCCTATATATATATTTATTTATTTCTTCTAAAACATTATAATCAAATAAAATTGTATATATTATATAACGTCTCCCTTTATTGGACAATAATGATTAACCTTTTTTAAAGTACTTCTGTGTCATATTTCTCTTAACCAAATCCTATCATTAGTTTGGTGTGGAACATGTTTTCTACAGAAAAAAAGACGATCTCTTGGGCTTTAAGTCGCTTAAATAGAGACTTTCCACTACAATAAAGAACCTGTTTATAAATCTTTAGCTAATTTTTTTGATTTTTGCAACCTTTTCGTCAACATCTGTACGTGACAACGCTAGTTGATGTTAAATCTGACTGTTAAACGTTGTATATAAACAGAAAGAGGCATGCGATTTCTACACAATCGACACGAACCTTGAATTAGATTTAGCGAGATGAGTAACGATGCGGGTATGAGCGATTTCTTTAACAGGGGGAAGCCGTTTTTCGCTGTTATTTTCTTGCAGTTTGGGTTTGCAGGAATGGATGTCATTTCTAAAGCCGCGTTGAATGATGGGATGAGCAATTATGCATTTGTTGTTTATCGCCATGCTGTTGCCACCCTCGTCATGACCCCTTTCGCCATTATTTTTGACAAGTCTTTACTTATCTCCGTTCACATATCTGTCAGAAATTTCATTTATGGACTATAAATATTTTGAAAATTGTATTCATCAATGAATATCATGCATTTAATTTGTTTTTTCATCAGTTCGTCAAGAATAATTCATGAATAGTTGGTTCTCAAAGTATATATAGTTCTCAAATGACCCGTGTCATATATCTATATGCATTCGTGTTAATTAAAACATATATGCTTCATTGAAACCAGGAAAATAAGGCCAAAGATGACACGCTCGATCTTCATTAAGCTTATGATTCTTGCATTACTCGAGTAAGTTTTCAGTCGTTAACAAGAACAGTGTGTGAGATGTTTAATTCGATGATCGAATAACGAGCTTTCACGACTCTTAATTTGCAGGCCGGTTATCGATCAAAACCTTTATTTCATGGGGATGAAAGCGACAACAGCGACATTTGCAGCCGCTATGTGCAATGTTCTTCCTGCAATAACGTTTGTGATGGCATGCGTTCTAAAGTCAGTATTTTTTTTAACATCCACAACATTACAACGAAATTGGTTTTATAGAACATCAAATATGTCTAAATATCCTAATTAAAATTAAGTTTATAGGACCAAACAATTATGCATCTTATATAAAGGTGTTACATTTAGTTGATAAGACGTTTTTGGATGTCCCAACATTTTCGAGATAAAACATCTCATTAGTATTTCATATATATTATTTGAAAAAACAAGTGTTTTTAAGAAAATGTGTTTATATGACACTTTTCAAAAATGTCATATAAAAAATAATAAGATATTTTATTTCGAAAGTGTCTTAGCAATTGTTTTGTCCTCTAAACTTAAGGGCCTATTTCTTAGCAGCTTAATGAGCTTAATGAGACACAACTTTTCGGTTAGCTATACATGATTGTGTAACAGAGGCTTAAAGATATAGAAAATGGTTTATTCAGTAAGTAGAAAGCAAAAGTTTTTTTTCGAACCTACCCCTATCAATTAAAAAACACGCTTCTTGCATCTATGAAAAGACCATTTCAAACAAAAACCTTCTCAATCTATATAGTCAGAGTAATCTACAGACAGGTTTATCGATACAGGTAATTAATGAAAACCAACCAAATAGCCCCAGCCCCTACTGTATAACAAGTCTATTAGAACATTTATGCATTCTGAATTCGGCTCAACTCTCTCAGACTCGAGAAGCTAAACCTGAAGAGCATCCGAAGCCAAGCGAAGGTAATCGGGACTGTAACAACTCTAGCAGGAGCCATGATGATGACCCTTATGAAAGGCCCAGTTTTGGAGCTATTTTGGACAAAAGGAAGAACACACCATCAATCTCATGTAAACAGTACTGGGGTAGATGCAGATCTCCATAATTCTCTCATGGGTGCTTTTATGATCATAGTTGGATGCTTCAGTTGGTCTGCTTTTATGGTTCTGCAAGTGAGATTCTTAATCCCTACAAACATCATGAGAATATGTTAGAGTCCCACGTCACATCAGCTAGATTTGAACCATTTAGTAGAAAGGTGAGGTTCCAACATATAAGGTGGATAAATGGTTCAAATCTAGCTGTTTTGTGCGACTTCAATGGTAATAATAGCTCGATCATAGATGTTTCTTGGCTTTTCGGATCTCTAACTCATTGCGTGTACCTATAGGCAATCACGTTAAAGTCTTATCCTGCCGAGCTTTCTCTAACCGCTTGGATATGCTTGTTGGGATCAGTCGAAGGAGTGATAGTGGCGTTGATAATGGAGGGCGGAAAAGCGACAGTCTGGGCTATAAACTGGGATATGTCACTAGTAGCAACTCTCTACAGCGTAAGTCTACCTAAATCACATCGAGAACGTATTCAAATCGTTAAGAGTTCTATACATCTGCTCGATTTGGACCATATTTTCTCGATATATGTCGGAACCTAACTTCTTTCCCATTTTGTGTTGTGTTTGCAGGGCATTGTATGTTCTGGTCTAGCATATTACATCCAAGGACTGATAATGAGAGTTAAAGGTCCTGTTTTTGTGACTGCTTTTAGTCCATTGTGCATGATCATTGTGGCTGTGATGGGCTCCATTATTCTAGCTGAGCAAATATACCTTGGAAGGTATTTTTTCATTATCTTATCGGTTAGATTTGGACCATTTCTCTTCTCTGTTCAATGTCTCTTTTGAAGAGTAATCTAACAAGTTCACATATTCTAACATGATATAAGAGTCAGGGTCTAACACCAGACTCGACACACCCTTGTTTGAGGGGTGTGTTGTAGTCCCATGTTGTCTAGACATGGACCATTAAAACGTGTTCATGTTGGGGACATTTTGTAAAGGCTCGTTTGAAAAGTAATCTAATGGGGTTTCATATATTTTCACAGGGTTATTGGAGCCATTGTCATAGTTACAGGGCTTTATTCTGTTGTGTGGGGTAAAAGCAAGGATGATAAGCTTTCATCTGAGCAAATGGTACAAGAAAAACAGATAATAGAGAAAGAATGTGAAGAAAACTGTTGTCATGAGGCCATCACCATCCAAGCATCAGAGGTTGCTACTGTCAATGAAGGAGTTTCCGATGACCATAATCAGACGAACGGTTTAACCTAACGGTTCATCTCGTGCTCCGATTACTCCCATATGTCTGATAAGTTTATAGCAGGGAATGATGATCCATCTAAAACAGAGTTTATGGTTTGATGCATGAAATAAAATGTCGTATCTTGACGAAATGAGTTCTCATTGACACGATTTTTTACTAGACGAGTACAAATTGTCTAGAATGATAGACATGTGCTCTGATACCAACACGTCATTAGATTGTCCTGAATGGTAGATATTGGCTCTGAAACAACCCAAGTGACAATGTCAATTATGAAAAGGACATTGACCTTCCAAAACATTTTGACTGATTACTGATCCAGTTACGCACTGAAAAAAGATGATGGGTCAAACATAAAAGCTCAAACGGAAAATAAAGTGTCTCAAAACATGTTTAAACTACATTTTCTTTGCCTCGAAAATCCGTATCTATAACATCAATTTTTCGTTGTCATTGAACTTCTGTCAACCGAAAACAAGATTTATCGTTTAAGGACAAGATTCGAGAAGATTTAGAAGAGTAGCAGCTACTTGTTGTTGATGTCATCTTCTTCAAGTGGCTTTGAGGAACTTTAGCTACCCACCATGAAACCTTGTTTTCAGGTTCTGCAACACTCATTTTCTTGATGGCTATGGCTTTTCTCAGCAAGAAATCCATCAACCACACCAAATTTTCATTTTCTTCTTTGATCTCGAACCCAAAAAACTTAACCATTTTCAGATGCTCGAGTTGCGAATCATTCGGGTTTGCAGTCCAAACTTGTGGCCAAGATCGGTGAAAATGTGGACTTGGTATTGTACTCCATTTTTCGTCAATCTGGTTTAAGAGATCGAACAAATCATAACCAATTAAGACAGAAATTAAAGGTTTTTCGGTTATCGATTAATACGAAAGTGTAATTAAGATCAAAATGAACCTTGATGAACAAGTTTTCCAAGGATGGTGTGAAGCTTAAGAAGCAAGCAAGTGCATCCCTCTTTTGTTTGTTCAAGCAACCATCAATCCATGAAAGCTCCTTTAACTTGTCAAACTTGAATTGCAAGTCATCAGATGCTACTCCTTTTGTACACAACCACTTTTTGTCCGATCAAAATATAAATTTAACTAAATTAGTTTAAAATCAATAATATATCTCAAAAATAAATATAAAGTTTGTTAAAACTAATGTTTAATTATTAATCAAAATTAGCATAAAAAACCAGTAAAAATTTGTTTTTTATGATAACCGGTTAATGTTTCAACCGGTTATTCGAATACTTGAATGTTTACAACTTTACATCTTATGTACCAAAATGGAAGTTTTGAAAGTACGTTATAACATACCTCAAGAAGCCAGCCACTTAGAGTGAGAACCTCAATGTCCGTAAGAGAGGCAAGAAGGGGAACAAGATCATCTTCACATGAATCAAAATCACTGTGATCACGTAGGTCAGGAATACCCTTCAAGTTTAGGGTAACATCACACAGTTTTGGTACGTTTTTAACCACAATTTTCACTAGGGTTCCTCTGTACACGAAACATTTAAGATTTGGAGCTGATGAAATGGTGACTTTTGCCATCTTTTCACAATCTAAAACCACAAACTTCTGCAACAAGCAGCTGTCATGTGTTTTCAGATCAATATCTTGTAACCCGCTGCAATATTTAAGACTTAGAGTTTCAAGATTCCGGCAACCGGAGAGCAGCGCCGGGAGGAAACTTCCAGCCAGACTGGTGATGGATCTGAGGTGGAGGGTCTTCAGAGAACGGAAGTGGTCATTCTCACATAAAGATAATTCCATGGATAAACTAAACACTTTTGTGCTTTCTCCATGGAAGCTTATGTGAAGCTCTTTGTCTACTCCTTTAATGGCTTTCAAGAAAAGGGTTTCTTGATCACCAACACCTTTTGGTTTGACCAAAGAAAGATTCAGGATCTGGTAACTGCTTTCATAAGTGTTCAAGAAAGTAGAGATGAACTGGTTCATTTGTTGACCAGATTCTTGACTTATCATTCGATCAGAATCCATGTTTAAGAACACATGAATTGGTGTCCATAAGTGCTTCCATGATGATGAAAGGATGATGGTTCTTGCAGCTTCCTTCAAAGGGATCAACGAGACGATTCGGGTCAAGATTTCGTACGGAATGTTATCAATCAAACTAGGGTTTTCTTCATTTTCCGCCATTGTTATGGTCTTCATTTTGCTTCAGAATCAAGCAATCAAGAGGGTTGAAGAAAATGGAAGTAAAGGATGGGTTTATAATGGAGGTATGGGATGGTTTCTATGCAAGCCAAAACTTGGAATGAAGGTAGGAGACCATTAATTTGCATGGGTACACTTTGGTGTTCAAGGTCAAACAACATATCAACAATGTTATATTATCTCTGACATATATGTTATATTATCTTTCTTTTTCTAAATTAAGATTTTTTTTTATTTTCTCGTTTTTTCTCTATTTTAAAAGATAGTTTAACATGTCGTCGGATCAAACTTTTGCACTCCAAAATTTCTAAAATAGCATAGCTGTTGAAATGTTCTAAATATCTCTGGACCAAAATGGATTGGAACCGGCCGTTTATGGTTTGGTTTTTCGGTTCTACAGATATTTAAAAATTGGTTTCTGATTTGGTTCTTAATTTATTTATATTCTCAAAAATTGTTTTATTTTTTATTATTCTAATATTATTTTTTCATAGTTAAAATCTTGTTGTTTTAGATTTTTTATTCTCGAATTAGAATAAATTTAAGCATGCATTCGGTTTATGATTGGTTCGAAACTAAACATAACTTGAACCTAAACCGATGGTTTAAATCGATTTGATTCTTGATTTTATTATATATTATTTTTTAGTTTGATCTGGTTACAGTTTTGTCATATTATGCAATAATGGTCAAAGTTGATCATTATGCCTTTTAAAATTCAACTTGATCTTGACTACCATTTTGATATCTTTATGATTATGCTAATATTATAGAAATTATCTTTTTAATCATAAATTAAAATTTCAGTTATTGGTTTTTGTCTGTTTTGCTTTTTTTTTTCAAATATCTTTACAAAATGGCAATTTTGTTCCATATCGGGTGCACAACCACAGTGTCGGATTTGTTTCGATCATATGAAGTGAAACATCCATCATCACAGACATTATGAACAAAATGATCTGACTCAAACTTTACAACTAATTTTATAACATGATATGTTTTTAGGAAACAATTAAGTATGAGTTCAACTTAAAACCATCAAATTACTCTAAAAGTCTGCTTGTTATTGCTTAATGGGGTTTACAGCTTATTTGGTCATTTATACATGGCTATTTGGTTGTGGCTTAATGATATAAAAAGTGTTTTATTCAATTCAATAAGCTTCTAAGGGGAAGTTTTATGTAGAAAGACAAGTTTTTTTTTCCAAACATATTCCTCCCAATTAAAAAACACGTTCCTTCTATCTATGGAAAAACGCTTCCAAACAAAAACTTTCATCTATATAGACGGATTAGTCCTAACGAATAGTTTTATCCATACAGGACTTAATGAAAAACCAATCAAACTTCCCTTAATGGAAAGATATTTAGGTATATAACCTTAAATGAGATTTGAGTTAAATCAATTACCTTTTATTGAGTATGAAGCCATTTTTCTTTCAAGAAGTTAGGAGGTCATGAATAGACATAAAATGTCTTCTTTAAACAATTGTGTTTATCGTCTTTTTTTTTCTTCTGGATTAACCTGAATATCCAACACAGTATGCGAGCCGACTAATCCAGGGCGACCACCTGCTTTGCAAATAGTCTGGAGTCACCGCATTTGAACATTCGTACAAGGGGATTTTTATTCCTCCTTGGATTTGAACATGTGACCTCCAGGTACTTTTGACCTTTGAAGCCAAACTCAAACCAATCAGGCACCACCCTTATGGTTTTGTTTATTTTCTTTAATAACTCTATTTACATGCTAAAATGAGTTTTTTTTTTTTTATCGTGTCTTTCTGAAATACACTTAACTTATTAAACGCAAGAGGTAACTCGACTGGCATTTAACGCCAAGACGGTGTATGTATATTTTTTAATTCGCAATAGAAAAATATTAATATCTATTATTAAGGGGTTAAAGTTTCACATTTCACATCCAAAGGGGCAATTTTGAATACCAAGAATAGTTGGAGGACCATAAAATAAAATCACTCTTTTCAATTAAATAGCCGAGATAAAAAGCAACCCTTTATCATTCAGCCATTCATGAGGACGGTAGTAGCATGTAAACAAATTTTATCACTGCGAAACTTCAAATCAATTCGATTATCGCATGGTCTTGTTTATACGGGTCTGATTAAAACCCAGAAATCTGATCAAAGGGAAACCATATCTGGAGTTTCATTGTCTAGCAAAAGTTGGTTGTCGGACGCCTGTAAACTGTTCGACGAATTGCCTCAATGGGATGTGGTATCAATCACAACTTTGATCAGTGGGTTAGCCCGACAAAATAGACACAAGGAAACATTCTATGTCTTCTCCAGGATGCTTGAGTTGGAAATCAAACCCAGTGAATACACATTAGTAGCTCTCATTCATGGCTCCACATCTCTGAAGGACCTTAATTTGGGGAAGCAACTCCATAGTTACGCGATCAAGACAAACTTCGAGTCAAATGTGTTTGTTGGTAGTGCTGTTTTGGATCTTTATGCGAAACTAAACACAATTGAGGAAGCCCAAATGGCGTTTGAAGATACCCACGATCCAAATGTGGTTTCTTACACAGCTTTGGTATGTGGGTATATCAAGAAAGAGAGGTTTGATGATGCCCTAAGGATATTCACAACGATGCCAGAGAAAAACGTTATAACTTGGAATGCGATGATTGGAGGATACAGCCAAAAGGGGCGTAGCGAGGAGGCTGTGAATCTTTTCATGGAGATGTTGAAAGAAGGTATTGCACCTACCCAAAATACTTTCCCTTGTGTCTTTTCTTCAGCTGGAAACATAGCAGCTCTTGGAATGGGAAAGAGTTTCCACGCTTCGGCTGTAAAAACTTTGGGAAACATTGGTATCTTTGTTGGCAATGCTTTAGTTACGTTTTACGCAAAATGTGGCAGCATGGAAGACAGTTTGTTGGCCTTCCAGAAACTACCAGAAAAAAATATTGTTTCTTGGAACGCTTTAATAAACGGGTACGCTCAAAATGGCAGATGCAACGAAGCCATTGGTTTTTATCATGAGATGCAAGAAACAGGTGTGAAGCCTAATGCTGTCACCCTTCTTGGCTTGTTAAGTGCTTGTAACCATGGTGGTCTTGTAGATGATGGATTTGCATACTTCAACGAGGCTAAATCCAAGAATCCGAGCCTGTTGGAGCCTGCACATTATGCGTGCATTGTTGATCTGCTGGCTCGATCAGGGCGGTTTTTGGAAGCTGAGAGGTTTATTCAAGATTTGCCATTTGATCCTGGGATTGGGTTCTGGAAGGCTTTGCTTGGAGGTTGCCAGATTCATTTGAATATGGAATTGGGTGAGTTTGCAGCTGCAAAGATTCTGGATTTGGATCCAAGGGATGTATCGTCATATCTAATGGTGTCAAATGCTCATTCGGCTGCCGGAAGATGGCAGAGTGCTTTGACGATAAGGCAGGAGATGAAAGCGAAGAGTATGAAGAGGGTTCCAGGGTGCAGTTGGATTGAAGTTGGACATGAGATTCGCGTGTTTGTTAATGGGGATCGCAGATCCAGCTGCTCGGATGAAATTCAGACGGTTTTGAGGTTTTTCTTTAATCATGTAGCAGAGTGTGCTTCAAGTTCAAGCTTACAACTATGATTCAACTCCAAAAAGATCTACTCCTTACTCAAGTTTCCAGTGAAGACCAAGCAAAACTTCATTATAGGACAGTTTTGACACCAGGTATTCAGTATTGATCGTATATTGTTTTCTCGTCATGCATTGAAAAACAAATATAATCCTTAATTATACACCGAAATCTATCAAGCTTAATCAAGCCATTCGAGATTACACTAACGAAAATGTCAAAAAAGATGCATAAGAACGAAAAAGTAAACCTCTTCATAAGCTCTAAATGCATAGAAGGACTAAGGATATTCGTATAGCCGTGGGAGTCGCTAGTAATTTCTGTATGCAGATCAAAATCCCATCCTCAGAAGAAAACTTGTCAAGGGAATGAACATATATATAGATATAGGATGTTGCATCTAATTATCTATACATACTGGTGTGGTGTTCTCATCTTCATTTGTTGCCTTTGCCTTCATCTCCATTCAAGATGCGATTTTGGAAATCAGACGCCATTTTTGGCAGACCCTCTCGGAGTGGCACCTTGGGCTCCCAGTTTAACAGCTCTTTGGCTTTGCTAATATCCGGTTTCCTCTTCTGAGGATCATCAGCAGTGTTCTCTCTGAATTCTATCGTGGCACTTGAATCAATAGCTCCTTTCACAACCTAAAAATGTGTCCAGGGAAAAAGATGGGATCAAATTACCGAATTTCGTTTATAAAACACGTGATCATATACCTTTAGGGTAGAGGACAGGTTTGCGTATATCCTACCCCTTAGATCCCGCTTTCAAGTGGGATATACTGGGTCCGTTTGGGATTTTAGGGTCTATTCATTTACATCAGTTCCATTTTTTATCGGAAGTCATTTTCAAGTGGGATATACCGGGTCCGTTTGGTGTAGAGGTTAGTTCTGGTTACATCCCCCGATCCCACCTTTGGGTGGGACATACTAGGTTTGTTTCGCTTTTTGTTCGATAGATGATGGAAATGGAAAACTGTAAGAGAATACGAACAAATAGCATACCAAGTCAGAGACATATCGAAAGCTTCTTGTTTGCTTTCCATCATCGTAAACCGTCATTGGTTTTTTGCAGATGGCCTTCACGACAAAACGAGCTTAGTATGAAATCATCACTATTTAATACTTAAGAAACACGATCACAAGCCAGAAGTTCATGTTGCAACTTGCGAATTGCTGTTGGATTGCTATTGGAAAGCAAAGGGATGGCAAAGAAGAACAACCAGAGAGGCCCAAGATCAAGATTTTACATTCTGGTAATAATAACCTTTTTTAATGGTATCACTCCCGATAAATTGCGATAGCAAGAAATCAGTTGTGGTAAACTTAGTGGTCATAATTGTTGTGTATGTCTCGAATCGAACCCTATATAGATAGGATACTCCACATCTTCAGGATCTCAATCATTACGCTGCAACCCTTGTAGTTAATAATAACCTATTTTAGGCCAAGTTTTGAGAGAGAAATATATGTTAAATTATCGGCAACTTCGATCGGCCTCATATGAAACCCGCCTCCTACGAACAACATGCTAGGTAGAGTTTACTTGGCGTTGAGGTTAACGGAGTGGTTCAATCCCATCTATGATGATTTGAATTTGAATGTGTTGTATATATTTAAGCCACCTTGTTCTCTCCTGCTTTGTATATATATCATAAGCATGAGGTTGTTTGGCAATTGCTGAATGATTTGGTGCAGAATCTTCACAAAGTGATTCAGACCTTCAACTACATGATTTGATTCAGAAGTTTATTTAGGAAGTATTTTAAATATTTGATAGTAACAAAATAATTGAAACTTTGTGTCAGGTATAATTGTATAAGGATGAATTGGTAATTATCCAAAAGTATAAGGGCTAATGATGGCATATTTACGAACCTCGTGACGAAACCTTTAAATATTATTAGAAACAGTTAATAAACGGAGAATCCAAGCGAACCGCAAATGCAAAACCAAACGACGACTCTCTCTGTTTGTTTCAATACGGCAGCGCCATTCGCCGGAATTTTACATGAAAACCACCGCATTCTTCCCATCTACGGCGGTTCTTTCGTTTCCGTAAACCCTAATATCACCTACTATCTTCCACACATACGATGATTTCATATTTTCTTATCCCTCGATAATTTACTCAACAATGAACCCCATCATCGAAGGTAACCCTAATTTCTCCGATTTCGTTCATAAACACACACGCATATGCGCTCGTAGAAACGTAATTATGTTGTCTTATGAGACTTGAATTAGTTCCGTAATGAGGTTTGGTTGGGTATCAAATTGATCTAAAATTTGGAAACCGAAACTTTTGACAAACATTTGGTATCACTGTTTTACATTTTGATTGTGTTTAGAGTATTAATAGAAATAGGAATCGAAAGTGTAATTTTCTGTTATGCAACTTATAGAATTGAAATTGAGTCTGGATTTGGTAGAATTTGAATCGAAATATTTTTCTGTTACTGAAATATATTGTTGTTGGTGCTTAATTCTTGTGATGAAGGAGATGGGAGGGACCTCGAAGTGGGTTTGGATTCATCCCCAAATCCCATCCATCTACGGTCTCCTTCTCCTTCCCATTGGACACCACTGGCTCTAGACTCGTACCCTTCTCCTTCTCCTAGGGCACCTGCATTGGTGGTATCCAATTCAGGTAAGTTATCAAGGTCATGAAATCCTGATAAATTTTGGGCGCTTCTAGTTCTGGTAATATTTTAAATGGATCAGGTTCAGTTAAATCACTATCATGTACTAATTCTGGGAAGACATTGGTGTTTTCCAATTCGGGGAAGTCACTATCAGGACCGGGTTCGGCCACGTCGTTAATGAGTCAGGGTGGCAGGAAGAAGTACGTGAAGCAGGTGACCGGCAAACACAACGACACCGAGCTCCACTTGGCGGCACAGCGTGGGGATGTAATGGCGGTCAAGCAGATTATTGATGAAATTAATGAGCAAATGCTGAGGACTACGAAAGGGGAAGAGTTTGATGTGGAGGTGGCTGAGATTAGGGCTTCGGTGGTGAATGATGTGAATGATTTGGGAGAGACGGCTTTGTTTACCGCTGCAGAAAGAGGGCATATAGAGGTCGTGAAGGAACTGTTGCCATACACGACTGAAGAAGGAGTTGCTTTGAAGAACAGGTCCGGTTTTGATCCATTACACATTGCTGCTAGAGAAGGTCACCAAGGTAATATAGTCTATGTTTGGCAAGCTAGCTTTTAGCTGAAAAGCTAGTTGTTGGCTTGTTAGAGTCGTCCCGGCTAGACTTGAACATTTTTTGTTATTTTGGAACCTACCTTCTCTTTTGGAGATTAATCTCCACATATTCGCTAATTCGCACACGGTGTTAGAGCTAAGGTTCGGCAATGTTGGGACTCAGACACATTGGGGCAGGGCAATTTGTACTCGTCTAGTCCCCTCGACATTATGTGACAATTTGTGTCTTTCTAGCCTCTATTAAAATGGGTGTATCAGAGTCCCACATCAGCTAGACTTAGATTATTTCTTTTCAATATATGTTGGAACCTCCTTTTTCTTCCCAAAGGCTTTTTTGACAATTGATCTGGGGTTCCACATGTTCTTGCATGGCTAATAAGCTAGTTGTTAGCCGATAAGCTCATGTTTGGTGAAAACTGGATGATAAGTTGGATGACAGTATAAAATTACCTAAAAGGACATGTGAGATTATCGTTCTTGTATCTGAACTTTGTATCAGTTCACGTTACGATCTGCAGAGATTGTCCAGATCTTTTTGGACCACGACCCGAAGCTGAGCAAAACAGTTGCTCAATCAAATGCGACTCCTCTTACAACTGCAGCTGCAAGAGGGCATACATCTGTAGTCAACGAATTGTTATCAAGAGATCCTAGCTTGCTGGACATCCCAAGATCAAACGGAAAAAACGCGTTACACTTAGCTGCGCGGCAAGGGTATGAAGACATTGTCAGTGCATTGCTTGCGAAAGATCCACAATTGGCAAGACGAACTGATAAGAAAGGTCAGACTGCTTTGCATATGGCTGTGAAAGGGGTTGGTTGTGAAGTTGTGAAATTGCTTCTTCAGGCTGATCCAGCGATCGTCATGCTCCCCGACAAGTTTGGTAACACGGCTTTGCACGTAGCAACACGAAAGAAGCGGGTCGAGGTATTAATCAACTTTTAGCAAACGGGTCGAGGAATTGATCAACTTTTAGCAAACGGGTGGATTTTAAACTTCCAAACGTATATGTGAGTGCCGCAATCGGCCTTTCAAACAGTCGTATTTGGCTTTTAAATCGCGGAAAAAAACCACGATTCTTGCTGGAAAACACTACGATTTGCGAAAACCCGAGCTGTTATTTCTATAATTTATCATCGTTCTTTCATACTATAGTGTTTCTTTTGCTTCTTTCATTCAAGAATGATAAGGTTATGGTTATCTTTTTATCAATTGCGCAGATAGTAAATGAGCTGTTACTTCTCCGTGACACGAACGTGAATGCTTTGACGAGAGATCACAAAACGGCTCTCGACATCGTGTACGGACTCCCGTTCTCGGAAGAAACCTCGGATATCATCGAAAATTTGATCCGTTATGGGGCCGTAAGAGCGAATGACTTGAACCAGCCACGAGACGAGCTCAGACAAACAGTCACAGAAATCAGGAATAATGTCTACAATCAGATCGAGCAAGCCCGGAAAACAAACCGAAACATGAGCGGTATTGCCAAGGAGCTCCGGAAACTCCACCGTGAAGGGATCAACAATGCCACCAACACCGTCACGGTGGTGGCGGTTCTTTTCGCCACGGTCGCATTCGCCGCCGTTTTCACGGTACCCGGCGGCAACGAGGATAATGGGAAGGCGGTAGCGGTTCATAGTCCGTCCTTCAAGGTGTTCTTCATCTTCAACGCGATAGCGTTGTTTACGTCGCTGGCGGTGGTGGTGGTGCAGATCACGGTGGTGAGGGGGGAGATCAAGACGGAGAGACGGGTGGTTGAGGTGATCAATAAGTTGATGTGGTTGGCCTCCGTGTGTACAACGGTGGCATTTATATCGTCGTCGTATATAGTGGTGGGGAGACACCATAGGTGGTCGGCGATTCTGGTGACGGTGTTTGGGGCGGTGACAATGGCGGGAGTTCTGAGTGGCATGACGTATTACGTGGTGAAATCGAAGAAGCTACGGAGAGTGAGGAGGAAATGTAAAAGCAACAGTGGGTCGTGGCGGCAGTGGGAGTTTTCCGACGCCGAAGAAAAGACGATTTATGCTATCTAATTCTATCTTCTTTTGCTTCAGATTATGTAAATTGGAGTTTTGTATATAAATTGAATTTGAATCTCCGTCGTCATAAGCTTACGAAAGGTTGCAGTTTGACTTGAGAGGAAAATCGATGCGGTGTGACCCGGTGAAAACTGAAAAATCAATTTTATTGTTTTCTTTTATATTATATGGTTTTGAGAAGGTGATAATGTTTTTATTTTTTAATAATATAAAAATTTAAAGACATTATAATTAAAATTTTGAAAAAAATATATCGATATTAGTATCAAATTCACTATTTAAAAGTTTTCGTTTTTTGTGTAATTTTTTTGATTCAATTTTTTATTATAATATAATTTAGGACTAATAATAAATCAATTTATTTTTAGTTTAATAATATATTTTTTATAAAGATAATAATTAAATATTCTATTAGTTTAATAACGAATCAATTTATTTTTNAATCAATTTATTTTTAGTTTAATAATATATTTTTTATAAAGATAATAATTAAATATTCTATTAGTTTAATAACGAATCAATTTATTTTTAGTTTAATAATATAATTTTTTATAAAGATAATAATTAAGTATTTTATTAAAACCCAACGATTATCCTAATTATATTTAAGATTTTTTATATTTAAAATATGATGTTTATCTTGTATATGATTATGTTTATCTGCAGTTAGTTACACAAATTCAAAAATGGAGGTTTAATATGTTGTACTTATACACAATTTACCTGTGATCCTGAATTTTAAGTAATATGCATCACTAAACAGTACTTCATGTATAAAAAATGATTTTTAAGAGTTTTTGTCAAATGTTTTATAATATAGTTTATATTATCATCTAATGATGTGTTTTTAAGCACATTACTAACACTTATCATTACGATACCAGTATTGTCTCGGTCTCTTATAACAGCGCCACCAATCCTCGTCTCGTGTTGATATTGATACCAACATTGTCGTTGCAACTGCCACCTCATAAAACCGAGAGTTGTGCCCCGTCATGGCCCAATTCAAAATTAAACATGTTTATCGCATACCATCAAAATTACGCCACATGTTTGACGTGAAAACCACCACATGTTTGACGTGAAAACTAACAAAAATGATTAAAGTTTTCTACATTAAAATAGTTGAGATTCGTCTTTATTGACGATTGAACGTTTCTTGTGTGTACTATTTGTCTTATCTGGTGTTTTCTTTTTATATTATTCTTATGAATAAGTTATGAGTAAATAACTGATATATTCTCGTTTACTCGATTAGATACAAAAGGGTAGATAGAATGAAATTAGGAGCCGTTTACCAAGCTCTTATCGGATAAACAATTATTAGTAGGAGTTATCACCCACAGTTACTTTATTGGGTAACATTCCCAGTCAATCGGTCATCAAAATGGATTATGGTAAGCGTATTTTACCCGGTAATCGTTTATCACATAAGAATCTCTTATCTCACTTATCGGGTAAGATTATTGATTCTTGTTATGTCTCTTACCGTGTAAGATTCTTAATCTTTGTCATGTCTCTTACTAGGTAACATTCTTGGGGGTTGTTTACCAAACGCTTACTGGGGTAAGCGTTTACCAAGTCATATTATTTTACCGAGTGAACATGACAAGGATCAAGAAATCTTACCCGGTAAGAACAAAGGCAAGGATCGAGAGTCTTATCTGGTAAGTGGGTGCGATGATTCTTACTACGATTACTTACCAGGTAAATTGTTGCATACGATACCGTGTTGGTGACATAAAATCTTACCTGATAAGTAAGTGACAGTGTTGAATTTTGCCGGTAAGCAATTACTAAGATAAGCATTTGGTAAACAACCCCCAATTTTTGTTATACTCATCAAAAAAATAAGTGACTCCTGATAAACACTGACCAGATAAAAATTCAGTAAATACCTTTAAACGTGCTATTTGTGGTTGTCACATGATACGTTTAAGATAAAAGAAAACAAAGGTAACTATATACACAGAACTGACATGGAATGTAGGGTTTTTATAATGCAATAAAAAAATGCATACAGTATTTAAATTTATCAGCTAAATGGATATACAATATATTTTTTTCGTTTCAAAATAAATGTTTATATTTTTTTTATATTAGTTATACAATAAAAATTCATTTTCAAAAATAAATAATTAAAATTTTAAATATACCCTTAATTTAATGCATAAATATTCAAGAGTTGATAGAATAAGTAAATTAATTAAGGATAAAGTTATCATTTGATTAACTAAAAAGTGTAATAATTATTCATGTCTAAAATTGTGTATATTTCATTATGAACACTTATTTTAAGGTAGTTGGTAGTTTGGCAGATACTGAATGATTTGGTGCAGAATAATTAAGTGATCAACATGATTAAGAGACTCTAATGATATAGTGCAAAATGAAATATAATTGTTTGGTAATTGTTTACAATGAAATTAAACGTTGAATGGTTAAAGGAGACCCAAAATATAAAATCATTCAGAGAGTTTTAGAACTATTAAGAGGCAGACTTTTTTTTTACCAACCAAAAATTGCATCTTAACAATTCAGAAGTTGTTTCTTAAAGAGAAATATTAAGAATTAACAAACAACCTCTAAGACCATCTTCAATACACAACCATTAAAAATAAAACACTAAAAATGGTAGGTTGATTGAACACCAAAACAAAATTAACTTCAGCATCACACTAAAAACTCTTTTTAATATAATAATAATAATAATAATAATAATAATAAAATTATATATGTATAAAAACTTAATATTATATATATATATATATGACGTTTCAAATGTAACACATCACATTTATACAATCAATGCAATTTAATCAATTGAGATACTTATGGACATGATTAAAGTTCATTTATTATGATTTGAATATTTATGAAAAATGACTATGGTTTATTAATTATGATCAATACTTTATATTATGAAATAATCAAATTTTTTATGAAATCACATATTCATCAAACTAAATGGACGGTTAAGATTGAATAGTATATACTAATTAATATTAAGTTGTTATAATTATATATATATATATATATATATATAATTATAACAACTTAATATTAATTAGTATACCATTTTTATTGACCTCCAAATAAAAACCTCTATAATTTTTAGTGTTTTAGTGTTGGGTTGAAAATGAAAGCATTTCTGTTTTTGTATTTTTAGTAGTGGGTTGGAGATGTCCTTATCGTATCTCCAACCCAACCACTAAAAACAATAAAAATAGTAGGTCACTTGAACACTAAAAAGACCAACTCCAACCACTCACTAAAAACTTCTTTTAATATTATAATAATAAAAAAAATCATGTATATATTTATTGTTTAATGTATTAAACTATTAATCTATATGTATAGTTATAAAATATTAATACTTGATTTTAAAGGTCTAATTTATCAACCGGATCAACTCAATCCATAATCATCCCTATTTAATAGTACCATACACTTCAAAATAAGGTCATATAAGAAATGATATAAACTGTATCGTCTCTTTTTTTTATGTATAAATAAATAAAAAGTTAATATAACTATCGGTTTATTATTTAGGTAGTCGATTTAAAATGTAATATTATTGATGAAAATAATTTGGTATTATGATCATTCATTCCAATTCGTTGAAGATGCAAACTTATCGAGATCTTATTGAACACCACAAGATGGATGAAAAGTAGTACTCAAACGACAAAAAATGTCACGTCAGAGACCGTGGATCAGCCAAAAGTCTTCACACGTAGTCGATAAAGTACTTTTTTGATATATTGTCATTTTGTTTACCTGGATAATTAGTTGAGTATTTTGGTTAGTTTATTATATATTATGCTCCCAAAATTATTTTACAAAGGTTGGCAACGGGTAGTGTACTGATTAATTCGTTCTCCAATCCGGGTAATGAAACGGGTAATTATCTATATTCATACTCTACCCGCTAAGATAGCGGGTAATGAAACGGGTAGTGGATAAATGGGGGAAAAAGCATTTTGAACTGTAATAATATTGTTAAACATCAACATATAAGTAAAATATAAGTTCATAAATATAATATTTATTTTATATTTAATTTGTTCCAGTAAACGTTGTGTTCTTGTTTTAACTACGTTATAATGTGATATTTTACACAACAATATGAAATTTTAAAGACAACATTTATGTGTTATATTTATTTTAGCAATCTCGTATTCTTTCTCATTTGGTTATCCTAATTTACTCTTTTAGTTGATGAATATGAAAAGAAAATTAAATACCAATTAATATACGTTATATAACATATAAGATAAAATTCTAAAAAATATATTAATATTTAACTTTATATAATTATATATATGTGTGTGTATATATATATATATACACACACACACGTGTAACGGGTAAATGGATAAAGAAAACACTTTATCGATACCCTACCCATTAAAATGTCGGGTAAATGGGTAACGGATAAGTGGATAAATAGATAAAATTTTCTTTACCCATACCCTTATCCAACGAGTCGTAACATAATGAGTAACAGGTTTACCTTTACCCATTGCCAATGTCGCCTTTTACAACATAATGGTAGAATTTCCATCAGGACTTGTTATTAAGTATATAACTTGATAACAAGAGATGTAGTTATCTGATTTTAACAAGAAAAAAACTCATACACTACTGTTTTAAATGGTTCAAATTTAATATCATTTTTAATCTACTAATTAAAAGATAATTTCAAGTCATCACTTATCTTCACATTCTTAATGTCGGTTATAGGAATCTATAATCAGGATATGACATGGGACATGAAGAACCCTACGCTTTAATCGACTTTTTGCTTCAAAAGTCGCTAAGAAGCCACTTTCGTGAGTCCTACAAACAGTAAACCAGAAACACTTTTTGTGTAAAGCATATAAAACTATTGCAAGATCCTTTTATATTGGTCACAGATTGGCATAATATTATATTTTAGGGATGTATCTTTTTTGATTCATTTTAATGGAATAAGACAACACTTTTACACCAATATTTCTCTCTATAAAAACGATCA